ACCTACTATTACTGTAATTTCAAGGTGCCAGATTTTGGGATAAAAAGCACAAGACTACAATTATTAGGTGAAGATACTAAATAATAATTATTAAGCGAAGATACTAGATAATAAAATTAATATTAACTAATTAATATTAAAAGCACAATATATATACCATCATCATGATGCAAAGATATCAGATTTTTGGGCAAAAGTACAAGACTATAATCATTGGCAAAAATACTAAATAATGATTATTAGATGAAGATGCTAAATAATAAATTAATATTAACTAATCAATATTGAAAGCACAATATACCTACTATTATTATAATTTGAAGGCACCAGATTTTAAAGCAAAAGTGCAAAACTATGATTATTGGGCAAAGATATTAAATAATAATTATTAGACAAAGATGCTAGATAATAAAATTAATATTAACTAAGCAATATTGAAAGTATAATATATCTATCATTATTATTATACAAAGATATTAGATTTTGAAGTGAAAGTGCAAAACTACAATTATCAGGTGAAGACACTCGAATATGATTATTAGGTAATGATGCTAGACAATAAAATTAATATTAACTAAATACTAAATAATCAAAATATAGTATTAGATAAGACACAATATACATACTATTATACAAAGATACTGAATTTCTAGGCAAGGATGATAGATCACGGTTATTGAGTAAAGGCACCAAATAAACTATTATTATTATTAAAAGATGATATCAGGTAACTAATTATTATGCACTCCTTCCCTGCACATAATAGTTGTAGTCATCCCTTTTATACTATGTCTATAAGGTAAGCTTTTTTTACTTTATTTTTTTTTTATCTCTAATTTTGTTTATCCAATTATATTCTAATCTCTCAATGAACAATAATAATTATTAAACAAAGAATAATATAACTAACTACCACTATTATATAAAATCACTGGGTTTTAAAATGAAGATACTAATTAAAATATTATTATTATTGTTAGAATACAATAAATAATTAGTATAATTATTGGGTATAATACAGTAAATCTACTATTATTAATATTTAAAGATACTAGGTTTTTGGGTGAAAGCACAAAATTATGATCATCAGATGAAAATATTAGATAATAATTATTAGCCAAAATACTATATAATAAAATTAATATTAACTAAACAATATTGAAAGCACAATATATCTACTATTGTTATAATTTAAAGATACAAATTTTGAGACAAAGATACAAGACCACAATTATTAGACAAAGATACTAGATCATAATTATTGGATGAAGATGCTAAATAATAAATTAATATTAACTAAATATTAAATAATTAAGGTCTTTTGCAAATTAGTATAATATAGATAGGCAGATTAGTATAGTGTAGGCCAATTTTTAAATCTATACTATATGGACCAGGTATTATATATATGAGTATTAGTTTCTATAATTTTGCAGATCTGTATAGTATAATTTTAAAAATTGGCCTATACTATACTGATTTGCTCACCTATACTATACTAATCTGCTATAATTTTGAATAATCAATACATGATATTAGTAAAATATAGAATACTTACTATTATACAAAGGTACTAAATTTTTAGACAAAGCTAGTAGAACATGGTTATTAAGTAAAGGTACTAGACAAATCATTTTAATAAAAGATAATATCAGGTAATTAATTATTATGCACTCCTTTCTCATACATAATAGTCATAGTCATCTCTTTTATACTATTTTTTTTTATTACAATCTTACAATAAGTAATAGTGTATTTATTAGGCAAAAGCATAGTATAATTACTATTATCATCATATAAAGATACTATAAAACCAGTATAATTATTAGACAAGAACACAGAATTTTCAGGCAATGATACAAAACTTTTAGGCAAAAACATATAACTATTGGGATTATTAGGCAATAAAACTAAAGTAACATGATTAGGTGATAGTTCTAAATTATTAATTTACTAGATAAAGACTCTAAAAATAAATAAATTAATAATCAAGAAAAAAGATATATATCATAGTTAGTAATAAATAAAATACTTAATTAATTTTATTACTAGACATATTATTATCCAAGTTTATATTATATTTACTGGAAATTTTGTTTGTATTAAGAATTTTCTCTTTGTCGAAGATATTATTTGCATAAAGTTTATTAACCAGAGAGCAATTACCATAGAGCTTGTCTCCATAAACTAGTTCATAGAGTGTTTTTTTATATAATCTATATTATGAATTGTTTATAGCTACCATGTCCAACCTTAAGCCAAATGACTAGTTATTTTTGCTAGTTGTTTTATGCTATTTTTTTAACTTTTGCTTCAAGATGCTATTGGCACATTCTACTAAACCTTGTGATTAAGAATACCTGAGGCATCCATTAATAATTTTCACTGATGTCTATAACTCTATTAATTCCTTAATTATTTGTGCTACAAACTTCTTCCTATTGTTAGACTAGAGTATAGTCAAAGGTGATCTAATTATATAGAAAAGATCAAAAAGATATGCTTGACTTCAATCGCTCTCTTGAATGTTAGAGGTATAGCTCATAAAAAATAAATAAAGTAGTCTCTTATATAACATACATACTTAAACTCTCCATCTGGGATATAGGATATAACAATTAAATCCATTTGCAAAATATAAAATAAAATAAATATAGTTAAAAAATTTTTTTTAATTTTTATTTTTAAAAATATAAAACTTATCTGTATGCAAGACAAAAAGTTTTTTACAATAATTGGCTTTGTTGCCAATAGGTAGAATGCTGGTTTTTGGGCCATATATACAGTGTAATTGTTTACAAATTTTTCTACAGCTTCTTGTTTTACAAATCTCCACTTTTCACAAATTGATTTTCAGGTCTGTTTTTGACCACCATATTGCATTATTACATCATGTGTTGACAAAAAACTTTATAAAATTTTTCAGTTATTAGTATAGGGTTATTTGGGCTGCCGTCAATAGAAATCAAGCAAATCTACATTTAAAAAAAATTTAATATCTTAACTTTTACAGCTCATATCTTGATGAATTTTAAAGCCATCTTGATGATTTAATATTTAAAAGAAAGCTTACTATCTAATCTTTTTTTTGAATATTAAAACATCAAGATAGCTTTAAAATTCATTGAGATATGAGCTATGAAAGTTAAGGCATTAAGTTTTTTTTAAATGTATATTTGCTTGATTTCTATTGACGACAGCTCATTTGTTGCCTTTAAGATTACCTTGTAGTCTCCAAACATAATTTCTTCAAGTCTAAATTTTTTTTTGCCCAGCTTCGCGTATTCTTATCTTAAAGTAACATGTCTTTGGGTTTAATAGAATATTTTTTATTTTATTTAAAAGTTCCTAATTGATTAAAGCCTTGACTTGCTTTGCACTTGGAAGGCTATTTATATAAATTTTCAAGATTTGATCAAGGGTGTTTCTTCTAATAAATGTATACTCTATTTCAGAGGTGTAAGGTGGTGAAAAAAAAATTGCGCAAAGATACCAGGAATAAATCAAACACCAATCATATTAAAGTACCAAGAACAAACCCAATATCTAATATATTAGTAGATGCCAAGAACAAGTCCAATGCCTAATATATCTGTGGGCACCAAGAACAAATCCAATATTTAATATATTAGTAAACAACCAAGAATCTAATGCCCAATGTATTAGTAGACACTAGGAACAAATCAAATGCCAAATGTATTAAGGTACCAAGAACCCAATGCCCAATATATTAGTAGTATCAAGAACAAATTCAATATTCAATGTATTAGTAGACACCAAGAACAAATCTAATGTCTAATATATTAGCAGGCACCAAAAATAAATCCAATATCTAATATACAGTGAACACCAAGAACAAATTCAATCTTCAATATTAGTGGACAACCAAGAATCCAATGCCCAATATATTAGTAGGTACTAGGAACAAATTAAATGCCAAATGTATTAAGGCACCAAGGACCCAACACCCAATATATTAGTGGCACCAAGAACAAATCAATGTCTAATATGTTAGTGAGCACCAAGAACAAATCCAATGTCTAATATACAGTGGACACCAAGAACAAATCTAATATTCAATATTAGTGGATGACCAAGAATTCAATACCAAAGTATTAGTAGGCACCAGGAATAAATTAAACGCCAAACATATTAAAGCACCAAGAACAAGTCCAACATCCAATATATTAGCAGGTACCAAGAACAAATCAAATGCCAAATATATCGTAGACACCATGATTCAATGTTTAATGTATTAGTAGGC